CTTTTTTCACCACATTTGCTTATGCATCGGCTTTGTCTTCAGCACTTGTGTTGGGAAGTTGAGTATCATGGAATGATTCCTGATTTCTGTTCCCAGCCATGACAAGTGACAATTATTTTCAGATGATGAAACAACTCTTTTCAGACCCTGGGAACTGACAGCTCAGGATTGTGATCTCGGTGTGCAGGGAAACAAGTGGAGTAAGGCCTATGCCCTCCTTGGGTTTTACACTGCAGGCACAGTCCAGTCTGCAGGAAATGGAGAGGGATCTCAAGAGCATGGTCGTGCCTCTGAGTCGAAGAGACAGATTGTTACTCAGGGAGGCTGAGGTGATGTTCTCTTGTGGCAGAGTTCTAGAAGCAAAGTGCAATGAAAGCGGGGAACAAGGGGGCCCCAGAGATTTGCATAGAGGTCCTTTTGCATTTTTTGGTGAATGCTGTCTTGCATACAAAGAACAGAGTAAAATGCCACAAAGGCTGACTATTGAGCAGTAAGCGGCACAATTCTCTGACCTTACTCAGAGGTCAAAGATGTTTGAGCTGTGATCAGCCAGTGTAGAGTCCTTATCGATGACCAAAGGTAAATGGGTTTGTTAAGTTCCATACTCACACTAAGAAAACAGGAACCAGATCAAACTGATCTGCAAGTAGCTTACCAGCCTCTAAGGATGAAGTTTCAAGGAAGGCAACAAAGTTCAGATGCTCACTGCTCTATTTAAAACATTCATCATTCAATGCAAATGACTAACACCACCAAGATGTGGAGAAATAGGATTCATAACCCAGAAATGACAGAGATGGTGGAATTGGCAGTCAAAGACTTAAAATTGTTGTAAAAAATGTTTTAGGACTTAAAGGAGGACACAGTACAATGAGGAAAGAAATAGAAGCTATCAAAGAATAAAGTGGAATCTCAAGGATTAAAAAATATAATATCTGAAATGAAAAATTGACCAGTTGGGGATTAAAATCACATTATCAACCAAGGTGGAACACACAGGAAAAAAAAGATGTATAACAGCAAATAGAGACTTCACTAAATATTTGATACATGCTAAAATACTTGTAGATGAAATTTTATGATGTCAGAGATTACTTCAAAATCATACAGGATTGAGAAAAAGGGAAGTGGGGAAGGTACAAATTGGGAAAGAGCTGCTGATGGTTGAAGCTATCGGTTCATGGGAGTTATTACGCTCTTCTCTTGTATTGCGTGATGTTGAATTTATTCATAATAAAATGCTTACGAAAAATGGCCTCTGTTCTACTCTGTCACACGGGGTTACAATGAGTCTAAAATTAGTTCAATGGCACCTAGCAGCAATAAGTAAGACAGAGTAATGAAGATTTTGTTTGTTTCTTCCTATCTGAATCTGAAGGAGAACTATTTCGATAAGAGATGTCCTCCTCTTTCCAACTGTTCTGGTGTAAGTCTTGAAAACTCAGCTCTGCTCTGATAGACAGAAGCGGGAAAGGTTGGGGCCACTGTCACTGGAGATAGATCCCACTGATGGACAACGCTCTGAGATCCAGGGATAGGAAGATAAAGATGGAAGAGGGAGTCATGCTCTCGGACTCTAGGAGGAGCCCTTGGCATGTGGCAGCTGTACCTGGTCAAGGGGAAGCCTGGTTGCACTCACCAGCATTTTCTGTCTTGCATCACGACGGGAAGATGGGGTGGATAGATGGTGGGAGCCATATATACTTTTTAAAATCTCATTTGTCAATTCAATGCAAAGGTTTAATTTTATTTTTTGTTAAGTGTGTGGAATTCAAATAGGGGGCCAGGTGGCACAGTTGGGTAAACATTGGTTTGCTAAATGCAAGCTTGGTGATTCAAATCCACCAGCTGTTCCATGGGGGAGAGATGAGGCTTTTGTAGAGATTCATAGTCTTGGACACTCTATATAGGACCGCTATGAGTGGGGGTGGTTACAGTGACTAGTTAAAAATCATGGCTCGGACTAGGGAAAAGTTGGGGTAGATTCCAAAAGGCCACTGAACTCGTCTGTGAGTGACCCCAACATCTCTTTTGAGCGACTCCACTAAATGAGCCTGTGGTTAGCGACTTGTTGGTGATTAAACACCCTTGGAAAGGACGGTGTGCTTCCTTGTCTTGGCTCTTTGGGCTAAGTTATTCTCTCATCTCTTTCGGTCTACTTAAGACTCATCTGAGAGATCAGAATTCCAGTTTTTCTCAGCAGGCGCTGGAATGGGATGCCCTTGGAGGGGTCAACTCTTGTAACTCTCCGTAGGAGAGATCTCATTATCCTAGGCCAAGTGTGGGGTTAGCTTTTCAAATACTATTATTTTGTGATTTTTGATTTATGGCAAAGATAGTTCGACCTTGAATCTGTTTTCACACAAAGTTTGGAAACCTAAAATAATGAAAATGATACCAATATTGAATTTTTATTAAAACAATATTTGTATGAATACCATTAGGCCAATTTAACGAGTTAATCAAATATTGATACTTGATAATGATTTTTTTCATACTTTCTAGCTTCAGTTTGGTTCTCAAAATAGTGCCATCAAAATTAGAATCTTTTAAATATAAATTGGTAATTTATTGACAGATTTTGCTTACCCAGAATATCACTGATTATCGCTTTTGCAATTAAAAAGCTATTCCTACAAAGTGTATTTTTAAAACAATTTCCCCCCAAATTGTGAAAAAAAAACCTGGTGTCAGAAAACACCCGACAACACATTTTATCATATGCAATTTTATGCACTTCCACTTTCATTTTGCTTATTCCTATGACTAATGAACATTATGTATTAGATAAAAGAATGCTAGCCTTTTTTACTTCCTGAGAAATTTGGGAATGATCTTCTTGGGATATTCCAGAGGCATAGCCTTGGCAGCCCATTATTTTTATCAACAAAGTTAAGGAGAAGCTATTATCTCTAAAACTTGTTAAACTTATGGGATCACAATCTACTACATATCAGTGTTTAATGAGAACAAAAATATCTTCTAAGCCATACAATTTTTCACTCTTTTTTAGAGGGAGAATTTCTGATTTCCCCATGGCTTCCTGCAGACTATATTTAAATATATAAAATCGCTTTAAAATCAGTTTGATGCACATATAAAGAAAATCTTTAACACATTTAACAAATTTCTCCCCAAATGTTTCTTTTCAAAATTGGGAGTGATATTGCACTGTGTCCATCTTACACATCGACACCTGCAGAAGTTAACGTGGACTACTGCCCTGCTGGTCATCCACTCACCGTTCTGTCAACTGAGAGTGCACCAAGGAGGAGAAGAAGTGGTTCAGAAGTCAAGGCTTAATCGTGTTTCAATATCACGGGGGAGGAGAGAATGAAACATTGGCTTACCTAAGACCCATTTCATGATGAGCATCTCTGTCCAGGAAAACTGTGTGGTTTTCACCCTGAAGATTTGTTTCGGGTAGTCTGTGAAAGTTTCATTTGGCAGCGTTTTAACACCTTCAAAACGGTCTGATGCATTCACAACTAACAATCCCAAGAAGATTGTAAAAGAAACTGCGTGGGCTACAAACTTCATGAAAGGACTCCTCAGGGTTCGTCCTAGCTGGAAAAAAAATATGGACAAGAGACGGTAAGCTTGCAGCTCTAAATGCGTGGAGGTCTTTAAGATAATTGCTTTGCCAAAAGTTTAACCAGATAATTCACCACCTTGGGCAGAAGTTTCAACCTGAACCCAAACATTTTCTCTCGTACTTCTGCTGTGGGCTGTGTGACCCGATCTACTTTGTCCCGACTTCAGTGTTTCTCATTTAAAAGACTTGGTGGGAATGACCGAGAGAAAAGGGTCCAACAGACTGACGTGTTACACCTGCCTGCACTAGAGGTCACTCCCAATCATGTGTCTGCAAGCTGTATGCCCTTCAACTATAGGAAAAGAAATATCTCAATGGAACTCACAATGAAAATTAGTCTTTGGATAAGCTCTGCTGCTTTTTACATGTTTGTGAATTTTTTAGGCTTAGCTGATTTGTTTTCAACTTTTCTTGTATACATTTACTTAAATCTCCGCATCTCCCACCGAGTACACTTTGCTGCTTGCTAACAGCAGAGGACATGAAACACTTATTGGAGAAGATCAAAGACTACGGTCTTCAGTATGGATTGCCTTTGACTACGAAGAAAAGCAAAATCCTTACAACCAGACCAATCAGCAACATCATGATAAATGAGGGAAGATGAAGCTGTTTAAGATTTCATTTTAATTGGATCCACAGTCAACACCCATGGACTCAACCGTCAAGAAATCAAATGACACATTACATTGGGCAAATCTGCTCCAAAGTATCTCTTTAACGTGACAAAGCAAAGATGGTATTCTGAGGACTAAGGTGCACCTGATCAAAGCCTCCTCATCTGCATGAGAAAGCTGGACAGTGAATCAGGAAGACCAAGGGGGAATTGATGCCTTTGAATTATGGTATCGGCAAAAGTTATTTAACATACCAGGCACTGCCAGAAGAAGGAACAAAATGCCTTGTAAGAAGTACAGTTAGAATCAAGGATGGCGACAGGAGAGACTCTGTGTCACATACCTAGGCCATGTTTTGGGGAGGGATCCGTCCCTGGAGAAGGATATCGTGTTTGATGAAGTAGAGGGGCAACACAAAAGAGGAGACCCTCAGTGAAACAGGTTGACACAGTCGCTGCAAGGATGGGCTCAAACACAACCCAGTGGGAGCACGATCCAGGGTCGGACAGGTCACATAAGGTTACTATGAGTTGAAACGCCCTTTGTGGCAACTAACAACACCGTTTTGACGGTTCCATCAATTTTGGCATGAAGTCGTTTCATTGGTATTCAGTTATGGTTATTTTGAAATTTCCATTTTGATTTCACTTTTAACTCAGAGGATACTTACTATTCCATTATTAGTCTCCAGACATACAGGACTTTTTCCTGCTTAAAAAAATAAACTAATTTTACTGCAGCGTATTTAAAAAACAAAGCCTCTGTGACACTCCTTGAAAGTTAGAAGTTTTCCTTGTGGCCAGCACATAGCTTGTGCCAATTTCCCATATGAGCCTGACCGGTACAATTGTTGACCACATCATCTCCATTTTGTAGCGTGTTAGCCAGAGGGCACTTGGGTCTTTGAAGACTAAATTTGGGACTGCACAATGAGCCCTTGCTGACAGCCTGCAGATGCCCCCCTCATCGGACGCCAGGGCCTGATATCACCCTGCGCCTAAGCACCAGTCCTCACTACTCACCCAGCTAGACTGAGAAGCTGGCGAAAAGAGGGCCCCTTTTCTAAAGTGCAGTTGCTTTTTCAGTAGGAACCAGTGATCAATTAATTGATGGTCAGTCGGCCTCCTTCAGGAGCCCAGAGTGAGATGTCACCCAGAAGATGGAGTCTTGGTTCAGTAGAACATCAGTACCGTTTTCTCGAGGCGACAGTTCTCTAACTATGGCTATGTGCAATGTAATATTCTAACTCGGAGATCCTGAGTGTTCTTTCAATATGCTTTTGTATGGGGATTATCTCCCTTACATATCTCCGTTATTAGTACAAAGTGATGACTTATGATCCATGTGTTATAGAACCCATTAAACAATTGTTTTAAGTTAATTTCTCTCTCTTTAAAGCTGCCATCTCAGGTTCAGTCATTGGGAAGCTTTGATTGTTCTGGGAAGAAAAAATAAAAATTACTTGAATTTACCTATATTGTCAAAGTGTCACAAGGCACTGGAATAGCTGTTACAGTGGAAAAAGATGCTCATTTGAAAATCATGGGTTCCACATACATTTTACAAGTGGCATTTCTGTGTAATTTCCGTGGCATTTTGTTTACAAAAATATAGACGTAGGGTACTTTTGGTACTATGTACATGCGTTAATAGAAAGACAGATCCATATAAATGTAGCAAAATGCAGAATTAAATTGTGCCTTGTTTTGACTTTGCCCATGATCCCAAATCGCTAGTTTGATCCATTCTTCAACATTTCTCCATTCGTATTCTGGAATCCCGTTTCTCAACCAGATCCATGAACTATTTTGACGTCTTTGGGGCAACAACTTTAAACGAGCATCTCATTGTTTCTTGTCCTCGTGCCCTGACCGGGGTGGTGAGAGTTGAGGGAAGGTGGCGAAGGACCGCAGGGAGGCCTGCGCGCAGTGGGGAGAAGGGAGATGGCAGAGAGCAAGGGCAGCCATTGCTGTGGCTCGCAGGCGTGCGGCAGAAAAGGTGCACGGCACGGGGAGAGACGGCTGATGGGACTGCTGTTAGTCTTCCGGGATCTTTTCTCCATGGTGACTACATCGCATCTTCTGGTGACCAACCGGGGTGAGGATAGGGGGATCCCCCACCCCCCATATTATCCCCCGGGTGAGGAACCTAATTATGGGAATCTGTGACTGCAGTCAAGCTGGCCCAGGGAGTCCCCAGAAACCCTGGTTTTAGGATTTGTCTTTGCTATTTCCTTCAAGTTTTCAGTCTCGTGACAGAAGATTCATCTGTACAAATTATAGTATATACTGAAAACCTGCAGTCCAAACGCCCTGATAAAGTGCTGTCGGGAGGTTACCCTCGGCTCAGTGTTCATTTGATCTGGGTCCCAGGGAGGAAAAATGAGGTTCCTAATGGATGCACAGTTCCTATTCCGGGCTTTAAAAAAGCATCTTTTTAACTGGTAACACCTTGATAAAGGTCAAATGAGTTGAAACCATTTCAACGGCTGCCAGTTTTCTTTGTTTGTGTGACATTCCTGTTTGGCTCCGGTAGATAATTTTTTGAAGTAAATTGCACTTGGGGTAAACTTCCTCTTACACAAGACTACCAGGTAAGGCAAAATAAAGCAGAAACGTCCGTCGAGCTAGAGCAGCATTTCTTAGGGAGGGGATCATTAAAGTGAGCTTAGGTAGCTGGTTGGGGTCAGTGGTTTGGGCACACAAAGAGATAGGAAAGCTTGGGGAGACTGAGGCCTTGGCTCCTCCCGCCCGGAGGGCTCTGCTAAAGCAACTCTCACTAATGTGACCTGAGGCTCTGAGGATCTTCTAAAGCAATAGTAACCAAGTCCCTGGCTCCCTGTCATCTTTCAGGGTTCTGTTCTTTTGGCATGAGAAATGTATGGCTGTGAGAGCCATTGAGTAATTCCATTCCGGAGAATCCAGTTCTGTGCCCCGAAATGAGCGCCGAGAGCACTGTATTCCCAGGCCCTCAGGTGGGTGGTTACATGTTCAGGTTGGCGCACCTCTGTGCATAAGAGCCTTAAAAGCGTGAGTCCCTTCTAACATGGACTGGGGATCTCCACATCTTCGCGGCCACGACTGTAGTCCATCAAGCAGGGACTATGTCCAGCTTCTGTCTCCAGCCTTGTGCCATCAGAGTCCCCATCAGCAAATGCCATCTGCGATTTCCTCTAGGTGCAAGGGCTCAGGTGACAAGGTGGAAAACGGAATGGAGGCCACTTTGGAGCAAACATTAACCAAGAGATGTGCACGTCTTGAATACTGGAGTGGGTCTTAGGTGTTAGAAGGACTCCTTAGTATGTCTCTCCAAATTCTTCATCAACACATCTAACGGAGGGCTCAAAAGTATGCCCCCCTTTGGAGAGGGGTTCAGTGGGTGTCTCTAGTTAGGGTGCCCTCATATGATAGAGTGCTGACTTTCTCCTGGAGGCCGGAGAGATGCTGAGCGATAGTGGGCTTGAGAAAGCAGGGATTCTGATGAGAGAGGAAGGGTTAGAGTTTGCCACACGGTTTTAAATCCTCCCTTTTAACAAAGTACTGTCAACTCAACAGATTGGAATCACGTCCACCCCAAAGTGCATGAGTGAACAACTGTCATGTCTACGTTTGGCTCTGAGGGTTGGAACTGCTGATGTAACTAGACAGGTAGGGTGCGTCGTGGTTAAGGCCCTACAGATTTTTGTCGAGGTCTGAATTCATGTGTTCTCAGTTTCTTCATCTGTGAAATAGGGGTAAAAGTAGTGTCTATCGCATATAGTTGACATATAAATAATGAATGCTTGCCAAGCACATGGACCAGTGCTGGTGCAGAGGAAGTGCTCAGCAGGGGACAGTAGTAGAGTCCAAGGACATTTCCTTAAAGGGGAACGTAGAAGAAACTCGACGGACTTTTGAAAAGCCTGGATGCATGGGAAGTAGATGACTGCAGATTGAGTTTGGTTAAAATTCAACATCTTGTCCTTTTGTCTTTCTTGTACCCATTTATAACTTGTAGTCATTATTGTTTTCGTATTTCTTTTGGATTGAAGCTTGCCTGGGTTTTGTTTGGTCATTGTTGGGGGGCGGGGGTTGGTATGATCTTCTTTAGATGAAATCCAGGGTAGGTAAATCTACAGAGACAGTCACCAGATTATAGCTCCTTAGGGTGATGACAAGGAGGGTTGGGGAGAAGTGGAGAGCTTTAGTAATCATGAGGAGGAGAATGAAGAAAGGGGTCTAAAATTGATTGTGGTGCTAATTGCACAACTCTGTTTAACCTACTTAATATATTGAATTGTATAGTCTGTAAATTATATGTCAATAAAATGGTTACATATTAAAAAGTCTATCTGCAAGCATCCACAAAGTCATGCACCCATTTGGGGGTCTTCTGTACAACATGACAGTGGGTTCAGGAGGTGACAGAGATAAAGTAAGCTATGGTCCCTCAAATATCTATGAGTTGTTGATTTGCTAGTTGAGAGAGACACACCGGCTAAAAGCTATGGAAGGAAGTAGACGGGCGGTGGAAGGAGACGGCTGCAGGGCTCTGATTGGGCTAAGTATCAGGTGAGCAGCCTTACGGTATTCTCAATCCTACTCCAACCCGTTGCCGGTGCTGGGCTTCTCTTGAACTTGGAGGCCGAGGCATCTGTAACCCCAAAGTGTGGACGCTTCTCTCCTGGTAAGAGCATCGTGGCAACACTTCAACAGCGTTCTGCAGCGCCCTCTCTGGTAGGGGCAGAAGTGAAGCCAGCGAGGTCTCGGAGACGTCCTCCTCAGCTGTTGGTCCCCGGCCCACAGGGTAATTTGGGGGGGTCCTACTTTGAGTCCTTTCAGTGTTCTCAGGGTGGAGCTGCAGTCACCACTTCCCCACTCCTTGTGCTTATATGGGAGAGCGGGGTGGACAACGAACACGTTGGTGTTTTTTAAAATAAGGGTTATGTGTGGCACGAAGGACTGGTACATTGCACACTTCAAAGGCCGTGCGTAGGATTCTGAGGTTGTTTACAGCTCTTCCAGCCCGAGTCCCGGGACTAATCTGTAAGGATCATTGAACTGCAAAGGAGAACAGGTAAAGGAGGAAGTCAGCTTCTCTTCTCACACTTTTACAATGGAGATTGTGTAGTTCCACGACATTCTCATGATGTCCGCTTCTGTCCCAATGCCCCTGCTGTGGAGACACTGACCCCCTGAGGGAGACTTATTTAGTCCGCGCTTAGATTTTTAACAGGCCAACAATCTATATTCTGATTTTGAGTGGAAAGCAGCCGAATGGCACTGGATCTTTTCTCGAGGAGATAAAGGGACCTTTACCGAGGGCCTAACTGAGAGCATCCATGCAGACAGGAACTTATCGGCTTTCCAGGGGGGCTGGCTGACCTCAACCAGGTGGTGATAACAAAGAGAAATGAGACGCAACATTGACCCTGATAGACTAGGTCCATGCTCCAGTCCTGTGTTGTTCACCATAGCTACCTATTGGCGAGATCCGGTTAGCTTCTTAAACAATGTTACAAATCTGCAATTCAGTTGGCACCTTTAACCTTATAATCTCCTTAATTAGCCATCTTTCTTAGGAACCTTCAAAAGGTAAACGAATATAAAAATAGAGTTGCCCGTCTTGGGAATTGAATAGGAAAGAACTGACAAGGCTCTGTTGGCAGGTGCTCCCAATGGCCCCGGAATTAGGACAGCCACTACTTGGAAGTAAGTGCACCATTAGGTTGGGAATAGAAGTCTCAGCATTTGCTAGATGTCGATGAGGTTTAGCAGTGACGTTTTGTGGTTACATGTAACAACATAATAGGAAGGTCTAATTGTTTTCAGGGAATGTAATGCCATCAAGCCATGAAATCACTGAGTGAGGTCAGCACTTTCCTGGAGTTACTAAACAGCCATCTAGGCAGTGGCCTGTTGGCAAGTGAGACGCTAGTACATTCCCGGGTCTCCTACTGTGCTGCTTCTCCCGGGAGGACAGGGTATTCTGGGCACCGGAGCCTTTCCAGAGGGCTGGTCTCTTCACAAGGCAGATCTGACCCTTCTGTCAGCCCCAGTGATATCGCTGCCAGACTTGAAAAGATTTATTTCTAAACGGTGAAAGGAAAAACTAAAAATACCACCGCTGTTTTATCTGTTCCTTTGGCTGCTTCTGAGCAAGGTTGACAAGCTCTTTTCATGAGGGAGTCTTTCCTCGTAATGAGCAGAGCGGCCAGAAGTCATCTCACGCCGCAGATGAAGACTTGTCACGCAGCCATCAAAGCTGCTGCCCCTGCATCAGGCTCAGATGCGGAGCCCAGAAAGTACGGAGCTGTGATAAGTGATTTAATCACCCACTCATTGTGATCCTCAGTGCTTTGTGTTAAGGCTCGTTGGAATCTCAAGGAGCACCAGTGTCCACCATGGACCGCAACAGACGGAAGAGGGCTCCAGCCAAGGGACCAAAGTCTCTCTCAATGGTTTCCATTAGAATATGTGCTAAGCCTGGTGTAAGAGTGGTCCTTATGTCACATGAATGTCATCGCCTCTGGATTTACTAGATCCAAGGAAGCCCAGGATTTCCTTAATAAAAACATTAAAACAATTACATCTCTGTGGCATTTTTTGAACCCATATTTATCAAAAACCAAAAGAAAAGTGGAATTCAGCATTTGACAGAGAATCTCTTGCTAATTTTTTTTTTCTTGAATCACCAGACAATCAGAGACAAACCAGGACAATTTACTGATGTTGGCTAGTTCCTGGAAGCAGTCATGTTTAGTTTTACAGCCAAACTGAGGGTTGACAGCATTGTGTCTACTAGCTTCCTGTTATTTTAATGGGTGAGCAGCGTCGATTTAATCTGGAGTTCAGAAAAAGTAGAGGTTAACTTCCCTATCCACGAAGGCTGGGCAATGATGCAATTTGCAGGACAGACTAGAGCCCTAGCCTCAAAACAGGTGCATGAAATCAACTTGAATGCAGATTTAAAGCCGGTTTTTGTTTTGTTTTGAATTCGCTATGCTCTTTTTGCTGCTCATAACGAGGGACAGACAGAAACTTACGTTCACCTGTATAGGTATCATCTGAGGCAGTGTGCTTTAAAAATCCACAGCATGATAGCATAAAAATGAACTCCTCAGGGGTGTAGGGTTGAGCACGCCAAAGAGGCAGCCTCGGGGCTTTTGCTTGCAGGCCTGTTCTAAGGAGGTGTTGGAGTTGGACGGTTCTCTGTGACACTTGTCTAAGTCAATCAGTGCACCGCCTGCCAGCCTGGCTGCAGCCCCATCGGCTGCCCTGAGGCCTCAGGAGCCATCGCTCTGGCGTGAGTCCCCTCTTATTGGAGTTGACAAGATAGTAGGTTCATTGATGACAACTTTATTAACTGTATTAGCCGATCCGGGTCCCGATGGGACGAATTTACCTGTAGTATATTTCTTCTACTGATGATTGATTACTTCGGCTTAATTTCTTTTTCAATACAGCACTAGATAAAGCAGCTTTGGACTCTTTAATGATGATCTGAAACCCATGAGACATACCTCAGAATTACTGCGTGGTTCGGTCTTAACAGGCACCACCTCTTGTTAGAAACTGGAATGACTGCTGGTGCTTCCTGTGCCTTTTGTCCAAATGGCTGGGCTTTGGTGACAATGGATCAGGTGGCTTGGCCTCTCAGCCCCCGTGGGCGTCACTCCTGTTGCCAGGACACCCCAGACTCTCCCCCTTCTTTATGAGGAAAGAGCCCAGTCCTGCATCCTGTGGAGTTCTCCCCCTGGCTCATTGGCCATCCATGCGACCCAGAGCCCGCCAAGGAAGCCAGGGCCACTAGGAAGGTCCTGAGTTCTGCAGAGGTCCAGTAGGAGTACCCGTGACTCTCGGCTTGACCACCGGCTTAGTACTTGCGTGGCCCTTGAGGGAGTGAAGTGAGCTATTTCTGGAAAGGACTTAGCAAGGAAAAAGTACCCACTGTTTGCTGACTCGTATTGTTGCCCTCATCGCTGTTATTCATACTCGGACATCACCCAACTAAGAGGGGTACCAAGTGCCTTTATCCAGTCAGAGGAAGCCTCACGTGTTTAAAGATTTCCCATTCCATCTCACACCCCTCTGTTAAAATGCTGCTGAAGAAAGCCAACCGGACCTGAACAGCTTCCCTCGTACTTGGTTTTGCCACTCAGCGATGGGATCTCAGGGATCTCTCTCTATGTTGTTGTTTTTAAGTGTGGGAAAAGATAAGCCACGACTGTGGACAAAATCGACTTGGGGTCATGCTAAGAAGAGAGAAGCACTAACCACAGACGACATGCACCTGAAGCAGTCTGTACCTTGCTGCACGGAGCAATCCAATAGGCTATGGCGAGAAAAGGGAGGCCTATGGAGACTCCGAAGACAGCCAGGAATTTCACAGCGATAGACTGTTGACGTAAGCCTGAGAGGTTTTCATACCACAGGGTAAGCAATTGCTGCTGACAGTTAGGATGAGCAACGAACTGTAAAAACAAAA